TCAGTTAAGATACGGAGGGGATAATATAGGGATAATGGAAAAGAAAATGGAAACCCTATGTCCCTTTAAAGGGTTATATAGGGGTTATATAGGGATTATATTGGGGTTATAATGGGATAATGGAAAAGAAAATGGAAACTACAATTTAGGGTTTAGGGTTTATAGTCCCCCTTAAGTAGATAGAATATGGCTTTGTGTAGATTATACTAAGATCCCCATATACCCCATATTCTATCTACTTAAGGGGGACTAGAACCCCTAAACCCTACAGCCTAAATAGTAGCTACTTAAGGGGGACCAAAGTTAATTTGTCTTGGAAGTCTAGGATTTAGCGGTTTGGGTTCCGGGTTGTTTTCAAGAAACGATGTTCACTTTGCTTTTGGATGTGTGCTGAAGATAGAAAATTGACTAACCCTAAATCCTAAACCCCAAATCCTAAACGCTAAACCCTAGACCCTCCATCTTTCAGGCTGAAGCACAGGATCTGGTTAAGTGAGGATACCTGCGAATGCTGCACCTGCAGCAACACATCCAGATGAGCTACGGGCTGAAGTTGGGTTGGGGGGGGCACCTATAGGGGATGTGTAGAGGGTAGAAGATTTAGGGTTTAGGGTTTGGGGGGGGACCTGTAGGTGAGATATAGAGGGTTTTGGGTGAGTCCTTTAAGGAATAGACTTAAATTAGGTTACCATGATTGGTAAAAATAGTAAATAATTGGTTTTCCCCAATATAGTTAACTTGAATTAAGTGCCTTAACAGCAACCTAGCTTAAGGAAAACAACTAGAACCTTCTTTAGTCCAGGGCTCAAAGGGCCATCCCTCTACCTGGAGGGACACGGATGTTCGGTGACGCTCGTTCCATACGGACCCTAAACCCTCAACCCTACAGGGACAATAGGGTTATATAGGGTACTATAGTATATTGGGGTTATACAGGGATAATGGAAAATGAAATGGAAACTACTATATAGGGGCTATATAGGCTTTAGGGTCCCAGTAGTTTCCATTTTCTTTTCCATTATCCCGATAAAGCCCGTGTATAACCCCCTTAAAGCCTGAGCATCGGTAACCTTGTGGCCGAAGATTTTCTCCTGGCGTGGAGCGCGGCCAGGCCAAAAACAGATCAAATGTGCTGAGAGGGGTTTAGGGTTTAGGGCTTAGGGTTTAGGATGGAACCGCAGCCATTATAATGTAGTGGTTTCCATTTTTCCAGTATCCTTATGTACAACCCCTAAACCCAATATACTATAGTAGTTTCCGTTTTTCCTTTCCACTATCCCTACATAACCCACCTCCAGAACTTTGAGAGGCCGATCGAGCAGGTTAGGACTCTGGCCGTGATAATGGATGCCCTCAACAGCGGCCGACCAGATCGAGCAAAGGCCATGGTTTTTTAGCCTTATAGTCCCCCTTAAGTAGATAGAGTATGGGGTATATTGAGATCTTAATATAATTTACCGAAAGCAATATTCTATCTACTTCAGGGACTTAAGGGGGATTATAACCGTTTAGTCAAGCTGCCATCGACGGCGGAACTTGGTTTGTGGGATCTGAGCTTTCCTTGCAAGGATCCCTTCTCGGCTCGTTTCAGAAGCTCGGCGTTCTCGACTATAATCTGGGTTGCTGTTAAGGAACTTAGTTTAAGTTACTCCATTGGGGAAACCCTATCAACCTATATATATATATATAGATATAACCATTAAGGTAAACTAACTTCCTTAACAGCAACCCCGTAATTTGAGGCAGAGCAAGTCAAAAGTGTAGATGGGCGCTGCACTTCCGTGCGCATCAACCACTTGAAGGAGCGGGAGCGGGATGCTTACCACACCGTTTGAGAGAACTTGAGCGCGCAAATCCGAACCCAGTCACACATGGGAGTTCCAAAAATTGTGGGGGGGAGGGGTGTTCTTTATGGGGAGTTCTCAAGTTCTTATAACAAGAATTATAGGATTATAGAATATTCGGGTTCATAATTTCTCCCCCACATCTATGGAAATTACTATATGGTGATATGCCATATGCACAATGATCAGCTGGCCCCCCTCTAGGTTAAAGTAAAAGAGCAAATACATGCTTAGGAGTGGGAAGAGGAGGAGGAGGAGGAGTAGTACATAGCAGCAATTAGCAGCAAAATTAACAAAGGTAACAATGGTAGTCAAAGTAACACTGGAAGGTTCAGGAATAGAAACGGTAAGCGTAACCACGCTGTTTAGGGTTTAGGCATTCTGGCATAAGTGCTAGCAAATCCAAGAAGAAGAACCGACCATACTCATCGAACATCTTGCGAGAATAGATACAACAGCAAGTGCAATGGACAAGCACTAACCACCCGCATGACTCCCATCAGCACTCTAAAGCCCTCCATCCTAAACTCCCATAAACCCTAAACCTTCGAAAGCCCAAACCGGCCCTAAGCCCTAACCTCTCCAAAGCCCAAAACCTAAACCCTAAACTCTCCAAAACCCCAACCCTTAAACCCTAAACTCTCCTGAACCCTAAACCCTAAGCTCTCCTAAGCCCAGACCCTACTTGGAGGTTCATGGGACTTAGTAACTATAGGGATATATAGGTTTAGGGATTAGGGTTTAGGGATTGGGGTTTAGGGCTTAGGGTTTGGGGATGAGGGTTTAGGGTTCATGGGACTAAGTAACTACTTATAACTGGGGTTATAACCTTATACTTGGGGGAACCCCTATAAGGCCATTAAGGGAAGTTATAAGTAGGGTTATAAGCCCAGTTATAAGTAGATACTAAGTCCCGTGAACCTTCAAGTAAATTCTTAAAACGTTGCCTCTATGTAGGCGACGTGATTGCTCCGCTCTTGGCAACACGCTCCGTGCAGTGCCTCGGCCATGGGGTCTCTCCTGGATTCGGATAGGTATAGGGTTTAGGGTTGAGGGTGTAGATCCAGCCAGGCCTGTGGTTAGCTGGGAATGAAGGAATGGAAAAGAAAATGGACACTACTATCATGGGTTATATAGGGACTTCTGTAAGGATCTATTCCTTCATTCCTAGCTAAGTAAAAGCGAGAGATAGGGCTTAGGAGAGTTTAGGGTTGTTAAGGGTTCAGAGCTCAGGGTTTAAGGCCTATGGTAGTTTAGGGCTCAGACAATAGGGCGTTGGGGAGTTGAGGGTTTAGGGCTTAGGGGAGTTTCCCTAAACCCTGAACCCCGAAACCATAAATCCTTAAACCCTAAACCCAGTTTGCTGCCTATAGTTGGGCTATAATTACCCTAAACCCTAAACAGTAAAGAATATTGAAAGAAGACCGTCAGCAAGCAAATGGAGGGCTTGTGCCCAGATGCTGTTTGCACGTGAATTGGGGGCCCTTGACACTGTACCGTGAAGCCTAAACCACCATGATCCACGGCTTGTGTCTCAACTTCACGTGCTTAAGTCGCTGCGTTGCACGCGGAGCTTCATGTGAGCAATGATTTTGCGGAGTTATATAATTCCGTGCATGAAGAAAGATTACATCCTCCTGTTGGGTAGTAGCACCTATAAGACCAAAAAACGCGACGCATGAGAAGTTACAAGCAGCTTTCGGAGTATAGGGCCACACCCATAGCTGCTTGAAAACCTACTCAAGGGGGAGTTTCTGAAATCCATGTGAGCTATAGCCTCAACTCCTTCAGATGGTATTATATAGGGCATTGTACAGGGGAGTATTGTCGGACATTATAGCCTCAACTCTTTCAGGGGGTATTATATAGGGGGTTGTATGGGGAAGTATTATAGGGCTTACTGTATTATGTAGGGGATTGTATAGGGGAGTATTGTCGGATATTATAGGGCCGTACTGAGGGGGATAGTAGGAGTTGAGATTCTAGCTCATAAATATATGGGGGAGGGGATCCGTAAAAGTAAGTGTGCCTTGTTGGGGGATCCCCACAATGAGGGTTGTATCATTTTGGATTCTACCTGGGAGCCCCCATTCTTGGAAACCCCCACGACATAATTCCCAATAAAAAGAACCCCAAAGCCCTAAACCGTAAATCCTAAACCCAAAGCCTTAAATCCTAAACCCTAAACCCGGAAATTCCATTATAACTCCCTTCTGTCTTTCTCAAGAGTCCCAAGATCTCCCCCATCTTGAGACACATCCCAAGCTAGTCCTGCGGAATGCCTGAACCCAAAGCCCTAAACGCGGTTGGGGGATGGAGGGGTTTAGGGATTGGGGGTTTAGGGTTTAGGATTTAGGGGTGTAGGGGTTGAGGCTTCAAGGGTTTAGGGTTCAACATTTGTAGTAGCTTCCATTTTCTGTTCCGTTATCCTTATATAACCCCAATATAGACCCTGTTCTAATCCCGACAATTCCTATATAACCCTAGAAAATGAGGCCCTAAACCCTAAACCCTCAGGATGTAGCCCGAGCTCCAAGTCATGGTGCTGCACGTGGAAACCAAGACAAGCATCCCAAAGTTCTGCCTCAAACCCTGTCGTAGTCTTAATGGGGTTCAGGGTTTAGGGTTTAGGGTTTGAGGTTTGAGGTTTAGGGTTTAGGGTTTAAGGTCTAGGGCTTAGGGTCTATAAGGGATTACAATACTGTTGATGGAGGAAATCTGGCACCACCTTAAGTCCTTTAAGTCCTAGGAATTACAGTAGTTCAGGGCCCTTAGGTGGTGCAAGATTTCATCCATCAACAGTAAGTACCAATGTAGTTTAGGGTTTAAGGTTTTAGGGCTTAGGGTCAGTCTCCTAAGCAAAGGGTACCACAAAGGACTATTGTAGGTCCATTTAGGCCCTATTAACTCCATATTGAGGAGCTACTATTGCAGGGGGAAGTAGGTACCAAGGTAGTCTCCGTGTAGTAGAGTTCTTCGATAATGCAAAATATACCTGTACAATGGATATAGATCTATTGTCCCCCTGAAGTAGATAGAATATGGCTTTGGGTACATTATAATAAGATCCCCTTTTACCCCATATTCTATCTACTTAAGGGGGACTATAAACCCTAAACCCTAAACTGTACACCCTATATAATCCCTATATAAACCCATAATTGTCTATCTACTTACGGGGGACTATATCTCCAAACCCTTCGTCTAGTTATGTAGGCCACTACGGCGTGATGGTATCAGGATTCAGCTTCGGATAGCCCCATCAACTAACTGGGTTGCTGTTGAGGAAATCCCTGTTTGAGTAGTAATTTTTGTGGGGATACTATGGTACCCATTATAGAGTAAGAGATAGTAAGAGTCTATCCTCCTTTTGGGGTATAGTATTTCATATAAGGAATATAATCTTACTAGGTTCAACCACCACAAAACACTACTCATTTCTTACTATATACCCATAGTACGGTTAAGTTACTACATTAAGGAAACCCTAGTATTTACTATATACCCACCAAAACGGTAACTTAATTCAAGTTCCTTAGCCGCAACCCAGTCCAAGGTAGAACCCCAAACTCGCAGCGCCTTAACTCCTGCAGCCCAAACCCTCAGCCGGCTCTCAAACTAAGGGGCTTGGTGGGAGACCTGCAGAAGGCCTTTTAGGGTTTAGGGCTTAGGATTTAGGATGTAGAGTTTAGGGTTTAGGATTTTGGATGTAGGGTTTAGGGGTTTAGGATTTTGGATGTAGGGTTTAGGATTGAGGATTTAGGATGTAGGGTTTAGGATTTCGGGTTTAGGATTTTGGATGGTAGGGTTTACGGTTTAGGATTTCGATCCTGTAGGCATGAGGAGTTACAGGTAGCGTCTGGATTTTTTCGGTGGTCTGGTGGTGCAGGGTTTCCTTAAAAGAGCTATAGATCTGCAATTGGGACCAATTTGGGATATTAACAACCTTAAACCCCAAAGCCCCCAAACCCCTAAACCCTAAACACGCTAACCCTGAGTCCTTAACCCCAAAGCCCCTCAACCTTTACTTCCTGGATGCTCGGGTGGATACTACAAAATCCTGCATGGCCCTAAGTACCTCATACCTTGGTACTGATGGTAAAATAGTATACTAAGGTCATGCAGGATTTTTAGTAAACCCTAAACCCTAAACAGTGACACCCAAACCTTTTTTGCCAAGCTTGGGCTTGCTGAAGTCCTCCTGTAAGGAATTTTGATTAAGTTATGTTGCCATGATATGGGTATCAAGGGTTTTGGTTTGAGGGTTTAGGGTTTAGCTTACCATAGTATTGGAATATAGTAAAGGATGTGGTTTCCTTATTATAGTATTTTTGGACAAAAAGGTTTCTCAACAGCAGCCGAGGCTTTGCAACACCCCTGTGTTACCTTTTGGCACGAGCCATGGCTCCCAGCGTGTCGCTCCATGAACTCTAGACTTAGACCATTCCTGACCAAATCCCTAATCCCTCCCAAATCCTAAACCCTAACCCCTAAAGCAGGATCCCGGAGTCCAGCTGAGTAGTATTTTATTTGGGGATACTATGGTACCCAAAATGGAGTAAGATTCTATCCTCCTTTTGGGGTAGAGTATCTTATATAAGGAATATAATCTTACTAGGTTCAACCACCAAAAAACACTACTCCGGCAAACCTTAACACTACTTCTCTTCATTACGGCTGTGGAAACTCTTAGATGCAGCTACTTTCATCCTGCGAGACTTAGCCTCGTTCCACTTTGGTTAGAGGGCTCATCAGGTGCTGGGGAAGGTTTAGGGTCTATAAGGGATTACAATACTGTTGATGGAGGAAATCTTGCACCACCTAAGGTCCCTAAAGTCCTCGGAATTACAGTAGTTTAGGGCCCCTAGGTGGTGCAAGATTTCATCCATCAACAGTAGTACCCGCCCCCCCCCCAACGGTACACCCTTCAAATTTAGAACCCTACTAGGCCTTATTGAGCACTAATTACATAGTCCTTATTAGCTCCTTCAACCCGGGGCGGGGGTACCTTTGGGGGGGTACTATTGTAATCCCTTAGTCTAGGGTTTCGAGTTTAGGGCATATGGTTTAAGGTTTAGTCCCCAAAAATGATCCCGAATGAGGAGTGCATCCCGAATGAGGAGTGCATGTGGAAGTTTCATGGGCTGGGCGTGCATACTGCGTGGGGTCCTTCGTTTCAGGAAACCCGGGACGTTGGACTTAGGGTTTATGGTTCACGGGGGCCATCTTGTATATCTGCCGTTTTTCACATAAAAATCTCACATTGCTGTTGAACTGAAAGGGTACTATACAGATGACTGGGCTTCTAGGTTAGCCTATGGCGAGCAAAGAGGCATCTCCAATCAACATTGCTTGCTTATGTGAAAAGACTTAGGTCCAAGTCAGACCTATATAGCACAAAACCCTAAAGTCATGGGTTACGACAAAGGTGTGAGAAGAATAATGAAAGAGTCGAGTTATAACTAGGCAATGTCCTCCAACCCTGAATGAATCCTAAATCCTAAACCCTGGATACGTATAATTAGCCTCGCCGTAGCACAAGTGTTCGATACCATGCCTACTTGGCAAAAAAAAAGTTTTCATGACTTGGTCCCAAAGTCCTGATAGCGCACTAGACCCTGAGCTCCAACTAAACCCTAAACCCAAAATTGTTTGGGGCTTGGAAATTAGGTGTTAGGGTTTACAAAAATGGGTTCTATTTTGGAAGTCCCTATAGTATTGTAGTGTATTGGGGTCTATTTTAGGGCCCCCTTGTAGGTGGAAACCTCCAAATCAACGCACCACATGCTCGATAGCCACCCCCAAGTGGATATCCACTGAGATTGAAGTACAGATTCGACGAAGCCTAAACCCTAAACCCCAAACCCCTAAACCGAAATCCTGCGGACCAAACCTGAAGCCCTGAGCCACAAACACACACGAACTTCTACCAAGACATTGAACCCCTAAGCCCTGAACCCTAACCGAAAACGCTAAAAGGCCCGAACTCCGAAACCCGAAACTCCCAAACCCTGAATCCTAAACGGATTTGTCATGGGTGCACCTGCTACCCCCCAGAAAAATCATCTTCATGAAGGCTAGTTAAGGATAATGAGGCATGAATTCAGGATAATGAGACATAAGTTAAGGATAATTGAGGCAGGATCTAGGTGGCATTGTGGGGGCAGTAGGGGAGCCCACGAGATTCGGGGTTGGGTCGTACATGTTAGGCTCGCTTACCTTAAACTAAAGACCTTCAGTTTTCAGGCCCTATTGCAAAATTCTTTATACGAAATCCTAAATCTGAAGGCCTTGGGATCTAAGGTAACCACCCAGCCATCAGAAAAGTGCCGGCAGGCGAACGAACTGCAACTAGACTCCTTGAGGAGCGAGCTATCGCAGCATGTGTACCTACGGCTGAATGTGTTTTGGGTCGGTTTAGGGTTTGGGGTTAGGGTTTAGGGTTCAGGGTTAGACTTTACACGGCCTGCATGACCCTAAGTGCCTTACACCTTGGGAACTATGGTACCAACCCTAAATTACCCTACGCCCTAAGCGTGTATAATAAAGTCATGCTGGATCAAAGGTTGGTCCCCTTGGGGCAGTTATCTTAAGGTTTGGGGTTAGGGCTTTTCGGACCCTTTGGGGTTTAGGTTTTTGGGTGTGGGGTTTGGGGTTGGAGGAGCAGACCATTCAAGGTTAGGTTGGAGGTGCCTACTAGGGATGATGCATACTTCATTGTGCCCGCTTTAGGTGATATTATGGTTTCCCAAACTTAGGGTGATCATTTCGAGGGTCCCCATAATAAGGACTGTACTATTTGGGGGTCCTCCTCATCTTGGCAAACTACCATATTTATGGTTCCAGATTCTACCCTTTATCCAGGCCCGTAAATTGCCGAACTTGGACTTGATGTTGCTTTGTTGTCAGGCCTTTCAAGATTTCTGCGATCTCGCGGGTTGTTTGATCTGTATTGCGGAGGCCTTCCCCCTAAACCCTAAACCCTATTGAGGAGGCCTTCCAACCACTCAAGTGGTGCAAGATCTTCTCATTCTGCGCTGCAGTATGAGGGCTTCCCAAAATCACAGGAACCATATAATGAGCATTGTAGTATTTTGGTGCTATTGGAGTCCCCCATATTTGGGGAAACTACGATATCATCTACGTGTAGTTTGGGATTTCTGGGAAAATTTCTGGTTTCTTCGCGAAAATCTGCCATGGAACCCCAGGTAGCCTCCTGGCAAAAGCGGCTAAGATTTAGGGTTTAGGGTTTTGGCTAGTCTTCATCGGGCCCGTGTTTGGGGCGCCCTGGAAGATTGTAAGTGAGTACACTTTGACTCCTAGACCCTTCCCCCAAAACCCTTTGATCCTTCCCCTAAGTCCCGCCTTAAACTCTACCTAGACCCTCCAATGTAGTACCTTTTTGGTAGTCCTAATAAGAGTCCTAACCCAAAAACCATACCAAACCCAAAAAGGAACTACATTGGAGGGTCTAGGCAAACCCTAAAACCTTACCTCCTCTTGTTTAACGTGTTCGGTCCAAGGTCCGGTTCTCAAAAACCCGGGCCCTTGTTCAATACAGGGGTCCAGGGTCTAGGGTCCTAGGCCTTGGGGTTTCGGATTTAGAGCTTATGGTCAGGGCTTAGGGTTTAGGGTGTAGGGCGTTTAGGGTTTAGGGTTTAGGGCGTTCGGGGTCTAGGGTTTAGGGCGTTCGGGGTTTAGGGTTTAGGGTTTGGAGTTTCATGTGTAGGGTCAGGGGTCTCCGGATTCAGGTTTGAATGTGCTCCGGACATACAGGTAGCTACGTAGGGTCCAAGAAAAACAAGGCCAGGTCTAAACGCCTATATAGTCCCTGCAAAGTTATACGTATTTGCTTAATGTACCTACCCCAGATTGCCTATAGAAACAAACGGGCTGTAGCGGTTTTTGAGGTGGCTTTGGCCCAATAGCTCCAGAAAAGGTTAGGGTTTAGGGTTGCCTTGGGCACCTACTAAACCCCGGCCCCTAATGTCAAAACCCCCACTCCGCCAGTGCTAAATATTCCCTGAACCCTAAACCCTGGACCCTAAATCTAAACCCTAAAGACACGATTTTGTTCCTGGTGAATAGTTCATATTAGGCGGGGCGGGGGGGGTCTTTGATATTCAGGGGCCGGATTTATATGCCCAAGCCAAGGTTTACCGCAACCTCACACACGCCACGGTTGCTTTTAGGGTTTAGGGTTCAAGGTGTTCAAAATTTAGGGTTGAGGGTGATTAGGTATCCCTCATGACCCTGAGTTCGTTGAAGGCTAGTATCTATTGTGTCCCATAAGTGGATGGAATATGGAACTCCCCAGAACCATAATGATATCCCCGTATACCAATTTTCTATCTACTTAAGTGGGGTTATAACCTGAGACCTTAGTCCCCAAGGTTATTCCTTTTTGTTCAAGGTTTTAGGGTCGACAAAGAGGACGCAAAAAGATTGTAATCCTTATCATACATGAGAACTCTCCCAAAATGGGACTCCGAAACCCTAAAGACTAAACCCTAAACCTTGGGTACTGCCCCCACCCAGTAATTAACAGTCTATATTAGGGGTCCTATTAATGGCTATATACAACCATATTATATCTATTATCCAACTGTTAGTGAGGGGGGAGAGTACCCAACCTAAACCCTAAAATTGAGGAAATCCTGTTATGAGAAACCCCCCGAATGGAACCCACCTCCTTGGACCCTTCTTGAACGCTGGCTAGGGCCGAATTACCTCGATGAGAGCGGTATGCGTTAGGTGGACCCCCCCCACCCTGTAATGGTGCCTATAAGGGATAATGAGGATTATATTAGGGTCCTACTATATTCCTACCATACCACTATTACAGGGTTGGTGGGGGGGTCCTCCTCAGGTATGCGGTTTCCTTGGGTGTGGTAGGGCATGCTTACTGGATTTAGCCCCTAGGCCATGAATTGAAGCCTCGAAGCGCAGAAAACTGCATGGAAGTCTGAGGCAAATGCTGGAATCGATATGTTCTGTGCACTGGGGACACTTGCCTGAACCCTTGTTCCTGTAGTCTCCTTAGGACCTGTTTTGATTTTCGTCATAGTCTAACCCTAAGGAATTCTTAAACATTGTGTTTATAATAGGTCTAAGGAGACTACAGGTTCCGTTGCATGACTTGTCTGGGTGTTTGGAAGCTTGTTGTGCTTGTAGGCTTCAGGATCTTCCGAACAGAAACACCGCACTTTGTTTAAATTGGGCAACTTTAAGCGACCTCACCCGACCCCACCCTAATGGGTGGTTTATGTAGGGGAATGGTACCAAAATGGCCTTAACTTAGGAATTCGAATTATTGAAAATTACCTTGTGTTTCGGGTGTAGGTTTCAGGTTTTTGGGGTTTCGGGTGTCCGGGCTGAGGGGGTTTCCGTGTTTTTGGGGAGGTTTAGGGTTCAGTGCTTAGGGTTTGGTGTTCGAACTTGTCTAATCTTGGGAGCCCCCTCTCCGCCTCAAACGATGGCGGCGTCCTCAACAAGGCTCCAATTTTTCCGGGGGGGCTGGTCATGGGTTGAAATGGCGGATGTTCGGATACTGTTTGTAAGGTCCCCAAAACCAAAACCCTTTCAAAAAGGACCTTAACGCCGCAGCCCACGAAAACCACGAGATCAGAAACAACGATTCAGCGTAAATCTTATCTACCAGGACCCTTAATTTGGGTGATATGGCCCCTACTAGGTGGTACTTTGGCGTGGATAGAGGGTAGTTGGAGGGTCTAAGGACTCGAGATCCTAGTGTTCTGTAAGAAGAAGATGCCGGTTTAGGGTTTAGGGTGTTGTCGAAATGCATTCCAAATAGTTTCCAGTGCAGACCCCCATAAAACTCCTTATCCCCTCCCTCTAAGAACGAACTCCCACGCGCCCTTTAAGTAAGCATGCCTCGTTAATATATCACGGTACTTTATGGAGGGTTATATATGCTATTCGGGGGGTTGGGAGGGTTCTCAACCCAGACCCTTGGGAGTAGTGGTACGTACCTTCTACTAGTCTGGGTAAGTTTGAGAACCTTAAGGGGAATCTACTTTCTAGATCCGGGTTTAGGGGTCTGGGAATAGGGGGAGGCGATTATTCGCAGCCTTGATCTCTGGCCATACAGCTGCTGGGGCACCCCCTCCAACCTAAAACCTTTGGAGGGTTCAGGCCTTTAGGGTCTGGGCCTCTAGGCCTTTGGGGTTTAGAGTTCAGGAGGGTTGGAGGGAGCTTAGAATGTAGGTTAAGAATGGAGATAGCTGCATGTGTTATAACAGATGGCTTATGGAGGGGGTTGTTAACCTACTTACTAAGTCCCTTAACCCGATAACGCAGACTCCCTCAAAGAGGGGCATGGTTTTCCCCCTGTACCCCAAACTTTGTGTAGGCTTTAGGGTTTAGGGTTTAAGGCTTCTCATAGGAAATTCAAATCCTGAACCATATGGGTGGTTGTCAAAATTATGGTCCCTTTTTGGATCCCTATTATACTACGGCACCTAATATTTAGGGTACCCAAAATTGGACCATAATTTTGACAACCACCCATATACTGTCTACTTGCAATCGCATCAACCTCTCTGAAAAGCTCCTAAGGGGACCCCTGCTTTTCAATCAGATTCAATAAGGCATCCCCCGGCCCCTAAATCCCTAAAACCCTAAAAACCCTACACTCCTGGAAACGAACATGGAAACCCAAAAAAAGCATTATAAAGATTACAGTACTTCTAAAAGGGGGCTACATGGGTTTCCATGTTCGTTTGGAGGAGTGTAAGCCCTAAACCCCCTAAGCCCCAAACCCCCGACCCGCAGCGCTGCTCATCTCAGACGCCCCTGCGCCGGAGAGAGTGCAGATTCGTCCCCTCGGCCCACGCTTGAGCAGTTTGGCCGTTACTTGGATGAATGATGGGTTGAGGGTTTAGACCCTAAAGCCTTAAACCCTAAAACCCTAAAACCCTTAACCCTAAAACCCTAAAACCCTAAAACCCTAAAACCCTTAACCCCCTGTACCCCCCTGTACCATCTTAAGCGCTACCAAGCCGAAGGCTACATGAAATTTCGTTTTATGATGGACTTTGGCGAGAGTGTATATAGGGTTGCCGAGCAACACTGGTGGGTGTGTATATTTTTGGTGGGCGGCTTGGGGGGACCATAAAAAGAAAATTCCGACCGTACGTAGCAAAGAATCTTTGGTTTTCGAAGCTCTTGATGGAGGCTTTGGCCTTCGGGAGGATATTGGTGGTTTCACAACAGAGAGCAAAAACCCTAAACCCTAAACGCACCCAAACCCTAAAATCAACACAGGCCCAAGCCCATCCTCAAGAGAACTCCCTTACTGACATTCCCATGTCAAAAACCCCAATGGGCTCCTGAAGTTGATGCCCAATTTCATGGAAGCTTCAAGGGTTTGGGGTGAAAGGTTGTTTAGGATTGAGGGAAAAGATTTACCCTACACCCTAAACCCTTTGGGGTTAGGTGCCTAGGCCCTTGAGCTCGCGATGGATATGTTCAGAGGATAAGCTTTAGTGGGAGGACATTATGACACTGTCAATGACGGGGTCTTTGTAACCCCAACCCATATAAGCTATAGTCTAGACTCCAGAAAAGGGGGTCATATAGGGAAGTATTATCGGGCTTATAAAGGGGGTGCTAGAAGTTTAGACTATAGCTCAAAAGAAATAAGGATCCTATGACTATCATATGGCTCGTACAGGGAAACCCAAATCCGTTGATTCCCTTTTCCTTAAAACCCTCCTACATTAGAAGGCTGGGGTATCAATATTAGAGGAGGGGGTGGTCAAAGACGGATCTTGGGAAGGTTTGAATTCCAAATCCCCGTGACCAGACACTCCTACCGAAGAACAACAGCTTCAGATCTCCTAATTTTGAAGGTTGCACGGTGGAGCTTAAAACCGAACCGATTTGCCCCGTCATTCGTCGAACGTGCCCGTACTCTGAACTCTAAACCCTCCAACCTAAACTCTAAACCCTCAACCCGAAATCCTACATCCTAAACCTTCATTAAACCCTCAACCCTAAATCCTAAACCCTAAACCAATTACAATCCCAAGTCCCATTATTAAAATCCCAAGTGCCAGACCCTGAAGGGACTCATGACTTTGAAGCCAGAGACCCTAGGGCTTCACCCCCAGGTGCCCTTGCGCCCTGAAGCCCCGGAGGCCTGGGGCTGTTACACGACTTGAGGTTTAAGGGTTTAGCATTTAGGGTTTAGGGTTTAGGGTTTAGGATTTCCGGTTTAAGGCTTAGGGTTGAGGCTTTAGGGCTTATATGGTCTAGGATTCAGGGTTTCGGGCTTAGGATTCAGGGTATCAAGTCAGAAGGTTCACAAGGTGAGATGACAGAATAGGTTTGTTCTTTGGTCTAGGGTTTAAGGTTTAGGGTCTAGGGGTATTGCAGAATTTAATGGAGTCTACACAGGGGTTCTTTACCTAACCTAGCTAAATCCCCCTTTTTCAGCAGTTCTTATGCACCGGGCAATTTGTGTGCATCATGGGCGTGAGTGTTCAGGTTTTTGCAGTTTCCTGTAGAATTCTGAAATCGCAACCCATCTTCTCCTTCTCCTTTTAAGCGTATACATAGATATATACATATATACATAGAGAGAGAAAGAGAGAGAGAGAGAGATTGAGATTATACAGATAAACACATAAGGAATCGCTAAAGGCCTCCCATTTTGAGAGTCCCTCCCTTTTCAAGAACAACAGAAGGTCTTGCAGGCGCAAATGGACCACATGGATCACCTTCTCCAGCAGAATGACAATGAAATCATCTCCGCCTTGAAAAAGGAGGTCTTCCACAAAGCTCAGGAGCTGGGGATCATGCGTGAGAAGACCCACGAACTTTCGATTGCAAAGGTGAAGCTGCAGGGCCAGCTTCGTGAGCTCATGGAAGCAAAAGTGGCCTTGCTGAAGGATGATGTGGGTATTGGTCTAAATTCCCTATAATACGGGGTCCTATATTTGGGTTCCCATCATAATACTGGGCCCCTATATAAATTTTCCCCATTTTGGGAATAGTAATTTAGGGAAACTACCATGCGACTTCAAGAACATCTGAGGTCCAGGCCTTGCAGGGCCTAGAAGCTTTAAGTCTAAAGCCCTAAACCCTCACGCCCGGCATAGATAGAAATTGTATAGGGCCAGAAGGCAAAACGCAAAACTCTGCTCCCAACCGGCCGGAAGCCCGCGCAAAACTCCGAACATGAACCTTTTCCAATTTCTCTAAACCCTAAACCCCAAACTCTACGCCCTAAATCCTAAACCCCAAATCCTAAACCCTGAACCGTAAGCCATAAGAAGGTGGCGCTGGCAAGATTTCCCTCATCCATACATGCGGGCTCGGAGTTTGACCTGAATCTCAAGGTAGGTAGAACCAATCAAGAAGAGTCAACAACGGCCATTGTTCCACACACTTTGGGGGTTTAGGCTTCTGGGTTTCTGTTGAAGGAAACCCCAAACCCATCCTTAAGAGCTAGACCCTAATTTAAGGGGTATTCGTTCAGACCCCCCTCACCCTGTACTAGTGGTATGTAAGGAATATAAGATGACCTTAATAGAATCGCCATAATGTATCCCCTGTCCATCTTCTTGTCCATTTCATTCTCCGTCGTTTTTTACTTTGGGCCTTACTTAATTAGGGGGGAAGACTCCAATCCCTTAACCTGAATCCCTTGTCCTTAGTCCCTGAACCCTAATCCCCAAAACCCAATCCCTTATACCCTAATCCCTAAAACCTCATCCCTAAGGCCTATTGGGCTCCCTAGGGTAACCTGCCAGCCTGTTGGGTCCAGGGCAAGGTTGTACTGTGAGTTATGGCCTTGTGTAAGGGGTTCGGTTTAGGATTTAGGGTTGTAGGGCTGTAGGGTTTAGGATTTAGGGTATACTTATCTACGCGCTTAGTAGGTCCTAGGGCTCAGGGTGGCTTGGGATTTAGGGTTTAGATCATAGGGTGATTGAAGGTTGTAAGGAGCTAGTCAGGATTATGTACGGCTTGATAAGGCCTCATAAGCAGGATTCTGAACAAGAGGGGGGTGTACTTTTGGTGTACCAAGTTTAAGGTCTCGGGGTCATGGTTTAGAGTTTCAAGGGAATAGCATTGCAATTTCTAGTCCCATTTGTTGTTGACCACTTTTTGAAAAGCCCCGTATTCCTAAGGCTCTGAAGGCTTACATGAGCTTGCCCCCTCTAACCTGGAGAAACAAATTAACCCGAAACCTTAGACGGCGTTTAAATTATTATTACTATTACTATTACTATTATCATTATGTTTAAAACGCTTGAACCTGATTTCTCAGCCTGCCACCATGGAACCTACGAAGCCCTAAGCCCCCTTAGGCTTAGAATCCTGCTTACTAGGTCTCATTAAGCCTTAATTAGGGTTTAGGGTTCAGGGTTATATAGTCCTGAAACCACCTTAAGGCCTAAACCCTAAACCTGGTAGACTCTTTCAATCCGGAGCCAAACAGACCTCCAAGCTCAATCGCCTACTGAAATAACATGTGCGTAGCCCACATTTACTGTATCGGATCCTCGGCCCTAAACTCCTGGACCCGGAAACCCTGTCCCTAAAGTCTTAACCCCAAAGCCATGAAACCCTTATCCCCGCACCCTAAACCCTAATCCCTAAACCCTAAGTCCCCAGCGTGGTACTGGAGTAAGCAATTTCGCTCGCCTGACCTGGAGTCTTTCGTCTGTCATGCAGGCGGAAAAAGGCGTGTTTAAAAAAAATCTAAATCTCAAAACCCAAAAACTTTAATCCTAAACCCTAAACCCTAGATCCCCAACCCCTCAGCCTAAACCCTAAATCCACACACCCTTATCCCTAAACCCTAAGTACCTAAACCCCAAACATCAACCCTTTGGGTTGGACCCTGTGCCCTCTAAAGGCAGAAGCGGAGGTGGAGATTCCGCTGCCAAGTTGATCTTGCCGCCTGCCGTAAATTCTGGGGGTTTCGGGGTTTAGGGGTTTACGGGTTTAAGGGTTTAAGGGCTTAGGGTTTAGGGGTTTCGAAGTTTAAGGTTTGGGGGAAATTTTGGGTTCAGGAGTTTAGGTTGGGGGTTTAGGATGTAGGTTTGGGGTGTATTGCCTCCTGGCGCGGTTTCGGGCCTACTTGGCGGGTCAGGGGGACTCAGCAAGTAAGTTAAAAGCCCAAGTTATCTTCATTGCTCATCTACTTGTTAAGTTCAGTCCCCCTAACCCTACAAGTAGGGCTTTGCGGAATTTAGGGCTCAGAGTGCTTGGGAAGCTCTGATAAAGTTTGGGCTTAGACTTTCGAGAGAATTCCGGATTTTAGGTGTGGGGCCGGGTCCTAAACCCCAAGCCCTAGACCCTACCCTAAGCTTCCGAAAGTGTTGTGGTTTAGGATTGCAAGGGTGGCATGGGATACCGCCCTCATCTGTGCAAGCTGCAAAGGCTTGGGCAAGGCGTAGGGGCTTCAGAAAGGCTGTAGTATATAATCTAGGGTTTAGAGTTTAGAGTTGAGGGTTTGAGGTTTAGGGCTTCGAGTTTGGGGTTTAGAGTTTAGGGTTCAGGGTTTAGGGTTTAGTGTTTAGGGTTTAGAGTTTAGGGTTTAGGGTGTGTATCAGTGTGAGCGCGCGGTGGGTGTGCTTTCATATTAGAATTAGGAGCGCACTCACTCTTCGCACGCTCGCGTAGCCGGAGGTCCCACCCCAACCACCCTAACTAGTCTCAATTAGGGTTTAGGGTTCCTACCCCCCAAGCCCCCCGAGCAAGGGGGTCTTCCTGATTTCCTTTCTCCCCAGTTCTGCTGTTCACCACGCAGCCATTCTCAGATGGCGCATTGTTGAATTTCAAGCAAAAAAAGTGTCGAGCAACGGAAAGGGGTAACAGAGGCCTTGGCCGGCCTCCACGCGTGGATCTTGCCAGATGCTTCAAAAAGTCCCAAGAAGCATCATGATGATAAAGGACTGCCTCCTGTTTTCTCTTCTCCCCAGTTCTGCTGTTTACCTCGCAGCAGCCGGCATTCTCAGATGGTGCGCTCTAGGACTCGAGCAACGGATAGGGTAGCGGAGGCCTTAGCCGGCCTCCACGTGTGGATCTTGCCAAATGCATGAAGAAGTCCCAAGAACCATCATGATGCGATGATAAGTGAAGCCAACCGCAGATTGGAAAGGAGTGTGTGGAGAGTGGAGAGCCCCGCAAACCTGAGTGGTCTGGGAGGTCGTTCAGACATCTTGGAGAGGAGAGATGTTTCTGGAGTTGGCGGTCTTGGTCTGACTCTGCCCCTGGAGGCCCCCTGAAAGGCCCCTGGAGCCCGGAGGCTCCTAAGGCCCGTGAAAGGTTTGGTACGGTGCCGGAGCTTTTTGGGAGGCCCTGGAAGGGTTCAGGGTCCTTGGAGCCAAAGCCAGAAAATCAAGAAAACCTGCCAGAACCCCTCAATCGGCCCAGGGCCCCCTGAAAGACCAGAAAGACTCAATGGTCGTGGATTTGGGGTACCCACTAAAGAGTTACGCTCTAGTAGGCCCGTAGGTTCGTTTTGGTGCCAGGCCGGAAGCCTGTCCCCAAGGCTCGAGCGCCCATGTATATGGTCAGCGGAGCTCTCTAGTTTAGGGTTTAGAGTTTAGGATTTAGGGTTCAGGGTTTAGAGTTTATGGTTTAGGGTTTAGAGGGTGTAGGATATAGAGTTTAGGGTTTAGACTTTAGGGTTTAGGGTTCAGGGTTTAGAGTTTAGGGTTTAGGGTAAAATGGATCTACAGGGCGGAAAACATAGGCTAAACCCCACCCTGCATCCCCAAACCTCTAACTCCTCATCCTAAACCTCTAAACCTTCAACCCTAAACCTTAAACCATGTAAATCCTAAATCCTGTAAACCCTACGCCAGGTTCTATGTTCTGCTTAATTTACGAGTAACTTGACCGGGGGCCTTCTGGCCACTAAATCCTAAAAGGGGTGTAGGGGTTAGGGTATTTCGAGTTTATGGTTTTAGATTTATAGGGCTTATTAGAGTTCAGCATCTAGGGCGTGGAGTTCAGGTTTTTGGGCTTGCTTCTAAGGCCCTAAACTAACCTACGCCCTAAAAGACGCTAACATAACCCTGAAGCTGTGCGGGGCAGTGCGCAGTGCAGGCAGAGAAGGACCTTCTGCTTCTGGAGGACACGATCTGGAAACTGCAGAGGCGTTGCATTGGCACGTCTGCAGAGCCTACCAGGACGGCGTCGAGGCGGGCAGCGCGTTCAAGGCCTTCCCAAAGCGCTCTCCAGGGCAACCGGCGTGCGTGGGCCGTCAAGGCGCCACCGCCAACTTTCTGCGCGGGGCTCCAGCTCCACAAAGTAAGTTGCCTATGCTGGAGGCGTTATTCGTTGCGATCCCTTTTTTCTGGGCAGTGGAAGAGCCGCGAAAAGTTCTGAGGCCCATGCAGATCGCTTTCTAAAGTGGGCTTTCCTAATTTTTGTAGCCCACCAAACCTCAAACTGCAAGCCAACGAGTCCGGGCCCAAAATCATGTTAAATAAACTATGCAGGAAGGGTGAAGGAATGTAGGGTTTAGGGGTTTAGGATTTAGGGCTTAGGATTTCCGGGGTTAGAGTTTAGGATTCAGGGTTGAGGGTTTTGGGGGTTGAGTGTTTCAGGGCTTGGGGGTTTAGGGCAAGCCATTACTGAGGATTCACCTCTTCGGCGTGACAGCAGCTGCGCATCCTCCTAAGGTGAGGACGGCCCCAGAGGTTCCAGTAGGAGCCCCGCACGCAGACAAACCCTAAACCCTAAGACCTAAACCCTAAAGCCCCGAAACCATAAACCCCGAAACCCTAAACTGACTTTGGGTTTGCGGCATGGAGGCTCCACGCTTTACCCGTAGTCCTCCCTGGCTTGCAGTCTTGTTGCTTCAGAATATTCAACGGCAGGTGTTTGGGATTTGGGCTAGGCTTCCGATAAGAATGAAGACCCGCTGGGTAAGCCCAACCCCGGCAATAGAAGACATTAACGTAGGGGATTCTCAAAATTAGGTGTTCATAGGGGATATATGAGGGTACACGGGGCGTGTACAGGGTTTAGGGATTATTTTGGGGAAGCTATCAAGTGTCCTATGATAGTCATACTGTTGCTACCAGAAATCCTGCATCGCCTGAGTACTATACAAGAGTACCATAGTTCCCAAAGTTTGGGGTACTTTGGGCCATGCAGCAATATTAGTATCCACCGCAGGGTCCGCGTTTTGGAAGGCCCGTAAACCCTAAACCAAAAGCTCCAAACCCTAAGCCCTAAACCTTAAACCCCATACAAAGATCCCTTTATTATGCCCCTTATTAGCTTGTAGATAGAGAATATGGGGTACATGGGGATCTTATTATAATATACCCAAAGCCATATTCTATCGACTTAAGGGGGATTATAAGATTTGAGTCTAGGGGTTTCAGGTTTTGCCTGTGACCTCACCTGTCAGCAGCTTCGTAGGCTTTGCTTGGCAGTTAAAAGCTTCAAGAATTACGGGTTGCGGCGTAGGGTTTAAGGTTTAGAATTTAGGGCTTGGGCGCTGGGTTTGTTTGGATTATTGAAATGTGGTTTAAGGTTTTGAGCCGAATGTTAAGATTTAGAATTTGTTTAAGGTTTAGGGTTCAAGGCTTGGGTGTAGGGTTTACACTCCCCCAAACTAACATGGAAACCCATATAGCCCCATTTTAAATGGACTGTAGTCTTTATAGGGCCCCTTTTGGGTTTCCATGTAAGTTTCCAGGAGTGTAGATTATTGAAATGCAGCCGTTTGTTACCGTCTGGGCATGCCAGCTCAGGGTTTCTGAGTGCTGTTCATGGTTGGACCCCTTCAGGCTATAGGATCTTAGTCCTTTGGGTATATGAACTTGTAGTCTAAACTCCTTAAAGGGATTATATAGGGGATTGTATATGGGACTACTATAAGGGGTACTAAGGGGTATACTAGGAGTTTAGACATTGGCTCATATGAGCTGTAGTCTAAAATCCTTGAAGGGGGTTATGTAGGAGAGTTTTACAAGGGCTTGCATCAAAATCTGTCTTTCAGCAGTTCAAACAATGCCTTTTCTAAAGTCATCGTATGTCCACTGCATTCAGCCTTCCACCATACTGAACACATAAAGTGACAATGCATACCGCATGCAGAACCCTAAACCCTCAAACCTGAACACTAAACCCTAAGCACGCGCTGAAGGACCCCCACTTTAAAGGTACAACGAAAACAACGAGGTGTCTCATATATGTCAGGCCTTAGGGCTCGGAGATCAGGGGAAAGTCTTCACTTCAATCTGGTTTGTGGATAAGGAGCCTACATTAAGTTGCAAATAATATGGGTATATAGGGTTGGGTTCAGGTTACCGTAGTGTGGGTATAGTAAGTAGCAGGGTTTCCTTCTTATAGTCGCTTAGTCCAAGCTGCTTAACAGCAGCCCAGTAATCCCTTGAACCCTGCCTACATTTCAATGGCACGCCCCCCTGATTGTCACCCATTGATGGTGCGACGGACCTCTGGCGTTTTTGACAGTCGACGGATAGGTCACAGGAAGCTGCTTGAGGGTTTGGGAAAGTTTGGGGCATAGGGCAGACCTTGAACCCCAAACCCCAAACCCTAAACCCTTAAACCTTAGGGTTTACATTTTGCGGTTTCGGGTTTTGGGGTTCATCAGTGGTTCCCACAGCCTGGCAGCACCAACCGGTTGTTTGGGGCTCCTAAACCCTAAAACCCAAACCATACTTGGAGGTTCATGGGACTTAGAAACTACTTATTACTGGGGTTATAAC